CTCTCCCTCTCCCTCTCCCTCTCCCTCTCCCTCTCCCTCTCCCTCTCTCCCCTCCCCATGCCCTGAATAAATTCTATTTTATACAGAGGCACCCCTTTCCCCAACACCTTACAGAGCCCTCACCAAACATATCCCTGTCTTCTATCTTTTTATAAAACACAGCAATGCAGGCACATGAACCAGGGCTGGTTCCCCTATCTTGTGGGTCTCAGAGAAAGATGCAGGACATGTGGTTGGTCTCTCTCTGATTCGTGGGTGGCAGGGGGAGGGGAGGGCATTCTGGAGTAGGAACATGGGACTCTGAGATCTGAGGGGTTGGGAGGAAAGGACAGATCTGGCTGAGATGTATCCATTTTACATGTGTGGGATGTGTCACCACAGGTAGCCTTCTGGTAATCCCAGTCTGGTATCTGGTGGGCAGATGTGTCACCACAGGTCCCTCTGGTGTCCCTGAAACTGGCAACCTACTCCAAGAACTTCCTTAATAAAATGAAAATGGTGCCCCTAATTCTCCTGGAATCTAGGCACCTGGGGAGTTTGTTTAGACTCGTGGGCTCTGAGTTGGGGGCGCCAGTCTCTCCCGTGGCAGCAGGGATCCCCGAGTCAGCGATGAGGACGGCCATAACTTGCGTAGTGTCTGTCTAGTTTGTGAATTCACGATTCTTTCCTGGAGTCTCATACAGATTCACAATCCAGCAGTGGCCTCGAGGCTGTGGAAAGGAAAGGCTTCTGTGAACAAGCATAGCCTGATGAACCCCAACCCAGAGTCCAACACCCTCCCCCCAGTATCAAGTCTCTGTTCTTGAATGTGTGTGTTGGGAAAGGGGATCGTTCTTTAGCTTTGGCACCTCTCCCTTATATCAGATTCTCTATCTACATACTCCGAGGCCTCTAGAGGTCCACTTAACTTTAGGAAATCACTTCTATTCCTTTGGTGAACAATACATTAGATATTGTTGTTTTTTAATACGCTAAAAATTCAAGAACACTTTCTGAAAAAAAAAAAGCCCTTTGTCTTTTGGTCCTAATTTTTTTTTTTTGGTCCTAATTTTTCGACTTCTCAATTCACGTGTAATTGTTTTCTGGTGCTGATATTTTGTGTGTTTTATGTACAAGTGTGTGTGCACATGTGTGTGGAACTGTTACTGATATGCGTATCAGTACTGATGTGTTTCATGTACAAGTGTGTGTGCACATGTGTGTGGAAGCTGAAGGTGAACTTCAGGTATCAGTCCTCAAGAGTGGTCTACTTTGGGGTTTTGGTGGCATTTGGTGTTGTTGTTTTGTGTACATACGTGTGTGAGGGGTATGTGTGGCAGGTGTGTACCTGTGTATGTTCACTGAGATCAGAGGAGGAGGCCAGGGGTCCTTTTCTATTCCCTCTGCCTTGCTCCTTTAAGACAGTGTCTTTTACTGAGCCTGGAGCTAGGCTGGCAGCCAGCAAGCACCAGTGATCCTCCTGTCTCCATCCCCACAGACTTGGGGTTGCAGGTGTGCATAGCCGTGACCAGCTTTTTTCATGGGTGCTGAGGATTCAAACTCAGGTCCTTCAGCTTATATATACAGCGAGTGCTCTTAACCACTGAGCCACATCCCCAGCCACGTCTCTCACTGGGACCAATTTGGCTAGACTGGCTGGCTAGCAAATCTCAAGGATCCCCCTATCCCTGCCTCCCCATCTCAGGGATGATGAGCAAGTGCTACCGTGCTCAGCTTTTCCTGTGAATGCTAAGGATCTGAACTCAGATCCTCCTGTTTGCTCTGTGTTGGGAGCCAGGCTGACCCAGGTGAAAGGGACAAAGGGAACCTAGTTCTGTGTCCTTGCCCAGAGACAGACTTGGCAAAGTCTGGTCTGGGTCTGGGGCCTGGGCTTCAAAGGAGTTAAGGTTTCTGTTCCTGGGGGAAGCCAGCTTTCTCCCTTAAGGGCTGTGTTTGTCAGTCCTCAGGAGGCTGTGTCTCATGTATCCTGTCTTCTCTTTGCCAGCCCTGGCTCATTTAGATCTCTGCTCACCTTGGCCCACTCTTCCTCTACAGATAGTGTATAAGATGCTGTACTTTTTGTTTGGTTTTGTTTTTCCAGTCAGAGTTTCTTTGTGTAGCCCTGACTGTCCTGGAACTCACTCTGTACACGCTGGCCTAAAACTCGGAGACCCACCTGCCTCTGCCTCCCAATGCTGGGATTAAAGGTGTGTCATCTTGTCTAGCTTAGATGCTGAGTTTCTTAATAAATTTGCTTGGAATAAGTCATCAGCTCACGCAAGCCCTCCCAGTCCCAGCTATTGCTTGTGTCTTCTCATCCCCGATCCTCCCACTCCTGTCTTCTCATCCCCGGTCCTCCCACTCCACGCCTCACCATCTGGGATCCTTATTCTTGCAGGTTCAGGTCAGCATAGTGAGCCTCTACCCACTGAGCTATCCCCTCAGATGCTTTGCTTTCATTTTAAACAAGTTAACTACTTTTTCGTGTAGCTTTAAAATACCCCCCCCACACACACACACTGCCTATGTTCCAAAGCACATCTGTCAACTCATGTCCTGCTTATGAGTCAACAAAGAACATGTGGTATATAGAGTTAGCAATCCGGGTTTTAATACAGCTGTTCTTGATGTAAGTTCTTCGGGGCAAGTTACTTAATCCCCTCATTTGGCTTCAATCCTCTGTGAAGTGAGGGATACAATACTGCCTTTTGAAAGGACCGACAATAATGTACATTCTCAATAAGAGGAATAGTTTTCATGCTTTAAAGCTCATTACATCTCTCTCCTTAATTTTCCTCTCCAACATCCTCCTCCAAACACACTGGCCTCTGATCTTAAGACTGATGGCCTCTAGCCACACCCCTAATCAAATTCAACCCATTCTTCTGAATGCTGCAGCTTTTCCCCCTGCATCATCCATGGCGCTTGCCCTTGATTTCTTGTACCTTCCACTCCTCCTCCTTCATATCTGATTCATCTTACTGCCCAAGCCCATAGACTACATCTTGGTTCATGGAGCCAGCACTCAGTAAAGACTGTGTGTGTTCTGCACCCGTGAACCTGTTGGATGAGTGAGGAAATGTGGTCCACATTCCTTTAGCCCCTCCCACTTGGCCAATTCTCCCCTACCCCTTAATTCAAAGATACTTCCAGACTTACTTTTCCTTACGTGATTCCTGCTAGGGCACCAGTAACATTTCACTGGGTATATGGACAAGAGATGGTGATGCCTTTAGGAGCTGAAGAGACCATGTGATGCAAACACAGTACCTAAGGGAGGGAAGGGACTGGAAGGCCATGCACCAGGGCTTGCTGTGGTAACAAGCAACTGCAGATCTCAACACAGAGGCTAAGTGTTCACCCCACTGTGCACTGGACTCTCCTCATGGACGGTGTTGTCCCCAGCCATATGCTAGCACTGAGTCACTACTGGCTCCCCCAGTCAGTGTAGCAGAAGGCAGTGGATTCCTAGTCTTCTGCTGGCTCATAAGTCATGTTTGCTCACATTTCATTGTCCAATGTCAGCCACAGGGTTACCCACCATGTACATAAGCATAGTCATCCAGTATGATTGGAGGGGATGAAGAAATGGAAACGTGACCGGAAATGTCAGGGCCAGAGCCTGGACCCTACAAGCAAGGCTCTTCCATGGGCCTTCAATAGACCAATCAGAGAAATGAGTGATGGCAAAAAGTGGGAAAAGATTTTTTTTTTTTTCTACATGGCCACATTGGAAGGAGGAACAAGGGCTCCTTGGGTCCATCTTCAGGGTCAGAACATGAGATTTACATTTAGAGACAAGAGGTATGCATAGCTAAGTAGTCTCTGGGCGCCAGTGTGCCACCAAGGCCTGCAGATGTTTGGCTTTGCCTGTGGCTGCATCCCAGTGTTAGAAGGGAGCTGAGAATTGAGTTCCTAGGGAGAGGGAGGGGGAGGCTGATCTTTGTGTCAATCCCCTTCCTTCTTACACGGCTGCTTCAGCAAAGAACATTAGAGCAGAACCACATCCCTCACACACTTACCTTTTTTCTGAGGCTGTCAAACTAGAAGGGGAGTTGGGAAAGGAAGAGAGAGAGAGAGAGAGAGAGAGAGAGAGAGAGAGAGAGAGAGTGGGAGGGAGGGAGGGAAGGAGGGAGAGACCAGCTGTGAACACGTGGAGAGAGGGGGAAGGGAATGGGGAAAGAAGAAGAGACAGAGAGGGAGGGTAAGAAAGCTAGATTGCAAGAGAGTTGGGGGCGGGGGCAAGCAGCTCCTTTTATAGTGAGTCAGGCACACCTGGCAGAAAATGCTAACATCTGTGCTGGTCAGAACTTGGAGAAGCCCTTCCCATACTCTCCACGATTAGCAGAAGGCTTTCGTGATAGAGGGTAGGAAACCACAAACTCTCACTGTACTCGACATGAGGTAGGCAAGCTTCACTCAGGGGATCTTTGCCTGCCAGTTCTGTGCCTTATGTTGATACCCCCACAGGCTTCCTCCACCTTTCTGGGGCTCAGAGCAGGGAGTTGGGGTTCCAATCTCTCTGCTGCTGGAAATCCGGTGACCCTTACTGAGCCGGATTTCCCAGCTGTAATTGGAGATGATAAGACTTCTGGATCAGTGGGAGAAAG